TGTTAAAGTAAAATATGACTTATGTATAATTTAAGGTTCTCCTTTCAACAGCATTTCTTTGTAAATAAAAAGACTGACTCACCTGCTACACTGCTCAGTGATAGGTCATCCCACAGGTGCTTACGTCTCCTCCATTCTTACCTTTGGAGTACTCTTTTTTTATGTAGTGTCCTGTAAGGCAAAATATCTTGCTTCCTATTGAGAGTAAAGTCAGGGGAGCTTTGCAAGAGTCAGGCTGAGTCATTTTGGAATGTTTTTGAGACATTTTGTAGTAGAAGCTGGTAACATCAATCTGTCTTAAAAATTGTTCCACAGGTGAACATTACAAACTTCTGTTAGAACCCTAGTAGGAACCACAGGTCTTCTCAGACTCATAGAAATCGGGGGAGGGGAAGAATCTGTTCAGTTGGTGGGAGCTGAATTCATCTCCCAAAGTTTCACATTTCAAATAATCATACTGGTGGAACACGTAAGCCTATTCTTTTTTTTTTTCAAAACAGTACCTTTTTTAAAAAAACAGACTGTCTATAATGCAAGTACAATCTTGTTTCCTGAATTTGCTTTGAATCTTCTTTCTTTTTTCCTTGTCTGTTGTGTCCTGCTACTTTCACTGAGTTCACATGATGTGTGAACACAAAAATATATGCAGGGGTTACAAGTTGTATTCCGCAAATCATGCATTCTTAAAATTTTAGTGGGAACTTGACATTTTTGACCCTCAGCTTGTGGATTTTGACAAGCTTCTGGTTCATGCTATAACAGCAAAGGTGTGGTGCCACCCTAGCCTCTCATCACCACTTGAAATATCATTTGGTACAAGCATCAGTCTAGGTGATGCTAAGTAAAGGTGTATTTTCTCTTTTCTGGCATTTTGAAGTCCATAGGATAAGACCTGTTCCACTCTAAGACATGCAGAGTGGGCAGTGTTACGGAATTCTGTGAAAATCACATTAATAATGTAAAATAATTGCACTGAAAGTTATATTTTACAGGCTACTTTTAACTAATTTAAGAACAGTTAATTAATAAGTATAATCAAATCTATTAACTTGAGCCATTATATTGTTTCAAAATGTTTCCAGTCCATATTAAAAGTTCACTTAATGACCTATTTAATGGACCCTACAAATTGAATTCCTGTTGGTTGCTCCATAAAAGTTTTAGGAGGCACAAAATTACTTTTAATCAGAAAACTCAGTTCTTAGCAAACATACTGCAAGCCACTGAACATAATCTAAAAATGGCAATTAAATAATTTTTTTCTCTGAATTTTATGTCCACTATGTGATCCCATTCAAAATCCTGATTGTGATTGACATATGCCTTGTAGAAGTTAGTTTTCAAGAAAGTTCTTTCTTTCCATATCACTTGAAGTCGGCATTCTTCAACACCACTCAATTTCACAAAAAGTTATGTCTAAATGAAGAAGAACAGAAGAAATGGAAGCAACAATAATATGCCTGTGAAGGTATTTCCATTTGTCACAAACATTTGGCCACAGTTGTTACTCTTTTTACTTGCTCACATATTTTGTATTATCATTGTACTGTAATTCTCCTGAAAAACATCAGCACCTTCACAATCAGTGCATCGTTATTCAGGGGAAAAAATGTTTTTTCTTACTATAATACCTAAAAATGCAGCAGGCTAACAAACTGAGAATGAGACTGAGTGTTCAACAATCCAGAACATGGTCCCTAAACCACTGTCCTAAACCGTTCTCAGGATATGCAGACTGATTCCAGCAGTAACTGGAAAGGTTATTTTTTTTTAACTGAGTCTTTCTTAAACTCAGACTCACATTCATGCAAAAGTGAACATATCTTTATCTCTGCTTAGTTTGGGCAGCTACTTTAAAATTAATGTAAAAATTCTTCCCCCCTACTATAAGCAAACCCACTGTTTCACACACAAAGAAAAGGTGGAAATCACAGCTAGGTGTGAAGCACTCCCAAATCACCTACTGAGAAATCTGCATGAATTTGGATTCAGCCCTATGACAAGCCTATAAAATTACTGTCTAGGCTGGGATTAAGCAAAAATTGCTTAATTAAAGAGTACTTCACCTTAAGAAATGTTCAGTCTTCTAAACTGCTTTTCATACAACCATGTACAATAATTAGGAACTTTTTGGATAGTTTTAAATAACTACCTGATCTCTTCTAATCAAAACTTCTATTTGATTCAATCTTTTTCTTTTATATAGAGGCATACCTTGAAACACAGTTTCATACCCTGATTTCTAAGTTGCAATTCAAAAGGAAGCTTTGTAAACTCATTTGGAAAATATTTTCAAATTTTATTGTATTATAATTCAATATAATAAATCCTATTTATTTCCAAATGACACTTAGAGCATTTACATAAGCACCACTGAAATTTTTATTAATAAAAATAATCCTCTATTTTGTGACACTTCATAGATTATACAGATATTTATAGTGCAATCTACATTACAGTCACATACTATTTTACAAAATAGTTTTAATTAACTTGTTCTTATTTAGAGCTCTGAGCATTTTGTTCCAGAGTTTACATTTGCATTGGTATTCAGCCCAGGCTAATACAGGCCAAACACTATAATCAAGACTAAGCTGTCTCACTTTCCCACTTTATTCAGTCGTGTCAGTTCAAGCCTTTAAAAAATCTCAATTAATATGTTCACTTTAATTGTCTTTCTGTTTGCTTTGTCCCTTTGTTGGATTCCTCTGGGCTAGAACCACGAGTTCGTGGATGAGCAAGTCTATGAAGAGAGCTGTATGGAGGTTGCCACAGTCAACAGACCCCCCAGCCACAGCCCTTCTCTCTCGTCTCAACAAGGAGTCACCAGCACTTGCTGCTCACGAAGGCATAAAAAGACCTACCGCATCCCAAACACCACCCTCACCGGCAGCCGCCCCGGCAGCGTGCAGGAGCTCAGCACCATCCAGATCAGATGCGTGGAGAGGACGCCTCTGTCTAACAGGTACCTCACACAGCACAGCCAGAGCTCAAGCCCCTCTCTTTGTTAGAGAAGAGGTGTAGAGGTGTTGTGGCCTCCGTAGCCAGGCTGTGAGGCTAGAGGTGAAAGTCAAATAGACATCCAAAAAATGGGCATTAGTACTGAAACATCCGGCACTTAGTTGGCTCCAGGCTTAATCCACAATAACAGAATAGTCTCTCTACATCCATTTCTACCCTCTCGTGCCCTCCCCACAAACTACTGTGTATTATTTGCAGCGAACAGCACCCAGGGAACCCAAATTAAACAGAGCGCCAATTATTATATGTCATAGACACATAACAAGAAAAATATAGCATAGAAATGTGCAATTCAGATATATGAGATGAGCAAGTGAGAAGAAAGGAATGTCCCTGCTGTTTCTACTGGTTTGGTTCAGAAGCACAGGACAAATGAGACTTGCTCACATTTCCATACAGCAGAGAAATAAGAGATTCCCAGAGTCCAAAGTGCAATAGTCACAAGAAAGACTCTTCTAAATAAAAAATATGAAATGGATAAGAAAACTGTGTTTCCTATAAGTTAATACAAAAGTGAGGAAACTGCAGTTTAAGAGTTTGTGATTTATTGAACATCTCTCTGCTGTCACAAGTAAACCATTTGGCTTTCAGGTATGCCAAACATCACCTCTGAAAACACAGCAAAGGTCTAAGGGGACTCCGAAGTGTTTTCTATTGAACTCAAACATGCCACCATTTAAAGAGGAAGCATTTTCAGCACTAGTTGCTGTAGAGAATTTCTTGTTAAGTTACATTTTGAGAAGCCTGTTTTATACAGTTACCAGGTTTGGATTTCATTTCCGTGAAAATTCAGCAGCTTGTAGCTACTGAAGTTTTTCAGCTGTTGTGCAATGAGGCCTCCTGGCCAGCACAAAACACCAATGTCTTAGCTTTTCAGGAAACCTTCTGCCTGGCCCCATCCCTTCTCTGCTAGAGGACTTTCCTGGACCACACTTCCAGTCACAGAGTATGTAAAAACAGAAAATGCCAGCTTTGTGCTAAAAAACAAGCTAAAAACACAAGCACAAAATGGCAGTCCCACCTCACAGTGGTCTGAAGTTTAAAATGGTACCGTAGTACTGCAGCAACTCCATGAACACGCTGACTTTTATTAGTGTATATATCACTATGTCTTATTCTCGAAGATACATAATATACAAAATGCTCTTAAATAAGCATGGCATGGAGGAATTGGTAGGGGACTGGGATTCCCCCTCAGTTTCCACTTTCCTGCATAACAAGTCATTGTGCTGTGCAAAGTTTGCTCCGTAGGAAGCAGCTCAAATGCTTCCCGTGATCAGAAACACTTTGGTGGTGATCCCATGAACATTTAGAAGTGGAGAAATGGTGGGAAAGAAGGGGGGAAGGGGTCCTGTCTATGGGGATCGCCATGGACCGCCTCTCGCCGGGGCGTGTGGCGGTGGGGCTTTGAGCTCTGAGCTCTCTGATGGGACAGGGTGGAAACACCTGGCTGAGCCATCGGAAGCAGGCACATGCGAGGTTTGCAGTCACGTGGATTTTCTTCATTGGTTTTTGTTTCTTCCTCCAGCCGTTCCAGCTTAAATGCCAAAGTGGAAGAGTGCGTTAAACTAAACTGTGAGCAGCCTTACGTCACTACAGCAATAATTAGCATCCCGACACCTCCAGTCACCACACCTGAAGGAGATGATAGGCCAGAGTCTCCCGAGTACTCGGGAGGAAACATTGTCAGAGTATCTGCTTTATAAAAGAAAGAATTATTTATAAATTAGCATAAAGACCACTTGCAAGCTGAGCTCAAGCAGTGAGAAATGAGTTGCGAGGAATGAGAGAGCTGACAAAGACAACGCCCCTTGACGTGTGTGCCAGCAGTGCAGAACGAGAGGTTCAGGAGAAACAAAACACCTTGTGGGTTTTGGTGTCATAGAGTGTGAACCAAAAGGAGTTTCTTACCCCTTGTCTGAACTGACACACGGTGGAATCTTCTGTGACCATCCTGACTTACTATATGAGCACAATGAAATGTCCCCATTGATGCTTCTTCTTATCATGAGAGCTCTTTTTAGAAAAACAAAAACAAAAAAAAA